GGGGTTAGCCCACTCCAAATGCCTCCTGCCCTCGTCCACTCACACCCCAACGCCTTCCACGTGTGGGACCAGGATGACGTCATCATCCCCATGACACCTTCTTCAGAGACGCCATTGACCAGCCCACTCATGGGGGTCATTCCGTACATACCCTCCTTCTTTCCCACCAGCCTTTCCAGTGGAAGCCCATCCTACAATCAGCCAATCCCAAAAGAGAGTGATGCCTGACGGAATGTCTTTCCAGCCTTTTCTTTGATGCTGGAGCCTTTTTGTGACTGTCCATCAACTACACTGTTTATCTCAGTGATTTGCAACTGGTGGGTCGAGACCGAACACTGGGTCGCAGGCCTATTTTGGGTGTATTCGTGTATTCTTATTTTCAATTTTCGGGACAGTCTAGAACACTTTATGAAAGTGTAAAAAAGATTAACGTTGCTTCATATCAGAAAACTGCGATCAGTCAAAATGGATGTGGATATTTGTACTTATGGCTACTTCAACCTCTAATGATGATCGCCTCAAGATTTTTAATTTGATGATTAACGGCAGTTTTGTGGCATTAAGTGATGTTAAGCTTTTCCTTTATAATGAATGCCCATCGGGATGAAAAGACTTCATCTCCATAAAATCCCAAATACTGTACTGGAGAGAGTGTTCGATTACTTTTGAAAGGTTGACCAGAGCATGAGTTGAGATGGCAAGTGATATTTTTTTGCGGTGCATCAAACTAATTTTAAACAGCTTTTGCAAGTATATGTTTTTGTATATATGTGTTGTCAGAGGCTAATTTGAAACAAAAGGGTGTTTTTTTATTCTCCATAGCGTCTACAAAAGTGGGTCGCGATATGCAACAAAAGTAAAATGCGGGTCCCAGAATGACAACGGTTGAGAAAGACTGCTTTTTGGCAATTAAGCGGTGATAACGTGTTAGCTTCTTGCAAACCACATCAAGAGCCCCGGAATACAGAGACACTGAGGATTTTTTCATTTTTCCGAGGATCATATTGGCACCTTATTGTGTTCTGATGGAGGATAAATTGGACAAAAGATAGCTTGTCTGTCGACCGGAAAATATTTTTCCCAGAAAACAGCTCACCGCTTTATTTAGATCATAACTGCAATGCTTTCTCAAAATTGCACACCAATGGACAATTCAGAGTGTCCAATCAATCGACCATGCATGTTTTTGGGATGTGGGAGAAAACCGGAGTACCCGGACAAAACCCACACAGGCACAGGGAGAAGTGTAGGAATAATTTAACATTTTTTTTCGAGTTACTGATATTTAATCTGTCGTGTAGGTTACCCTTTATTTTAGAATCCATTTACTGCCTAAAATTATCAGGTAAATGTTTCCATGATTTTCATGGATAATTTTTACCAATCCACAGTATATGTGAAGGGAGAAGCACAGAACAGCACAAACTTACCGGACCCCACATGACCATTATTATGTGTCGATCAGCCAAGTGTGTGGAGGACTGCTGGCAAGCTAACAATGAATAAAACAATGATTTCAGGTTGCCAGGCTGTGGAGTCTTGTTTCATCAGTGGAATAAATAGTTGTCAAGGTCAGACTGCTCGTGGCACCAACGTGGGTGTCTACATTAAGTGAGGGATATAGAGATTAGGCAGAGACGATTAGAAGAACAGTTTAGCCTTAATATGGCACCGTTTCATTACTTTTGAGCTGTGGAATTAAAACAGGACAGATACTGAAACTTTGCCAAACATATGAAGTCAGTGACCCCTGACAGCGCAAAGTTACAAGTCATATGACAGACAGGAATTTGTGCCAGGACTCCACTCATGTTGTTTATTTGCAACTGTGCATAGCCGATACCAGTGGTTCTTAACCTGGGTTTGATCGAACCCTAGGTGTTCGGTGAGTCGGTCTCAGGGGTTCGACGGAGCCTCTGCCATGGAGGTTAAGACACAGCTGACTCAAGATGTCAATTAGTTATGACACACCCGCTTGGCTATCGCTGGCTGCAAATGATCACATGACAGTGCTTGTCCAATCAGGACTGCTGGAAATTCAGTTCGCTCAGTAGTCACCGTGTGACTGTCGTGACAGTACAATTAAAAAAAAAAAACTATACTTATGCCATGTAATTTTATTTTTTTCCTGGTTTTAATAAATGTGTTGTTTATTTAATGTCTTGAATTTGTAAAAAAAATAGATTTTATTTTTCACTAATGAAGCATTTGGTGAAAGTGCGTATGAACTGGTTGGGTTCGGTACCTCTAACAAGGTTAAGAACCACTGGCCTAGACTGTTATGTGTTCCATATGCTGAACCAGTTAACCATTGTTGATTTTCTTTCATAACATGATGTTAACAAGAGAATATAACACAGACGTGTTTGAGTCGTGCTGAATACTGGCTTCTTAAGTTTGTGATCATCTACATTTTCATATTATCCTTCTATCCATCCTCTAGGCAGCTCATCTTGTTGCTAACTTTGGCTGAAAGCCACACAACACCTTGGATTGGTTGAAAGTCACACAGAGGTCTCGAACACCCAACGATTAAAATGTATTCTAAATTGTGTACAATGGTGAGCTGTCAGGGCCAGCAAGGCCCGCATGACATTTACAACCTCAGCAAAGGTGAATGCAGGCAAGGAATGACGTGAGATAAAAGTGCGTGCTCAGCAGTGACTTTCACGAGGCATCGACTGTGTAGTCGTGGCTTGACATCAGTGGGGGATTAAGTGATCCTCACCTGTCCATTAGTCACACTTGACAGCTTAACCCGATTTCTGGCTGACCCTGGCAGGTTTGTACCCAGGCTGATCGGATTGTTCAACAATGACTTCAAGACGGGGAAGATACAGAAATATCAACATAACATTTGCTACTGGTGAAATTGATCATTTTTCATAAAAGAAATAACTGCAAATTCTCAAATACAATTTTCAAGTGTCAACAAAGAAAAGGGTAAAACACCTTGTGCTATAAATTAATCCTGCTGTCCCTTAGGGGAAGAGCAATTGGTGGATTAAATTTATCCTTTGAATCTCTGCCAATCTGCCCAATCCTCATCTGGCATGTCATGTGGAGGCGAGCAGAGATCATGTAAGAGATCCTAGCCTTAAACTATGTTTCACACTGCGGGGTGTGATGTCCAATATGGATTGTTTTGTGAAATATGATTTTTTTGTTTTAGTCAACAGTCAAGCCACTTTCTGATAACCTGCATAATGCATCTAGTGACATTAAGTTTTGCTGAATTTTTTTTTTTTTTACGATACACTCTTCGGTAAGCACAAAAAGTTCGGAATATTCGGCTTTCGGGTGAAATTTCAGGCTGAACCTAAAATATACTGGAACCTTAACCGGTGAACTAATTTAACATGTAAACTTTTGAGTGCTAACGTCCAACTGCTCAATGTTTATTTACTGTTCTCCTCCAAGGTGTTTGTTTCATGAATCGACCAACCCACTTCCTGGTACAATAACAATTACTATTTGAACAGACCATTGCGCTGGTTGCATTTTGACATCCTGAAACCAAAACAACACCTAAAAACTGGTTAACAATTAGCTCGACATTCCCACGGGTCAAACAGGATGTTTTCAGAAGGAAGTAGCCACTGAGCTTAGTATCGCAACATAGCAGGCTGTGATAGAGTGAGACTGGAAGAGTCACAGAAGTGTATGAAAGTGGATGTCCTTCTGAATGTATTGGTCAATTCATGGATCGGTTTTGTTAGCAAACAGCAAGTTGTGCAAAACATCCACGAGCGCTGACACTTGTACATTTGCTTTCTGAAATTTAAACGAGGTCATATTAAGTTCACTTGTAAAGGTCGTAATGCAAGTTCCTCCTGAAACTTTACCCCAAAGGTGAATATCCCTTATTTTAGAGTGTTGGACATTTAAGCACACAGTAACAAGATCACATTTTATTTTCACAATGATTATATTTATTTACATAAAAGGGACGCAAAAGAAAAGGCATTTGCCAAAGGATGCGTGGTCTGTCTGCAAGTGCAACTATTAAGTAGAGACCCACCTTGCTAGTCTGACTGAAGTGCTGTAATGCTTTCAGACAAAATATCAATACAGCAAACGCATGGTGCTAAACAAGCCTTACTGCTCATCCCAATTTAGCATCTCAATATACATCAATTTGATTAGCACCAAGCAAACATGCAGTACAACATGAGGGGGGAATTACAAATACTCAACTGTTCAACAAACTGAAAACTGATGGAAAATTACGTGATTGTAATTTACTCATTTCCCATTCTCAGATTTATACGAAGAGTGAAATAGGGCAGGGGAAAAGGGAGTAAGGGCTACCTCTGTTTAGATAACACCCGGAATGACATACACAACCGTGTACATAGCAGAATAAGACGAGTCTGACGAGTCCAGGGGTCGGCAACCCAAAATGTTGAAAGAGTCATATAGGACAAAAACAACAAAACAAACAAAAAAAAAAACAAATATGTCTGGAGCTGCAAAAAAATAAAAGCCTTCTATAAAACTTACAATGAAGGAAACACATGCTGTATGTATGTAGGAGACTGGACTGTCTCAGAATTGTTTGTTATTCATTCCCCTGTTGTGTGTTCACAAAATCCCCCATAGAATTTATTTTGTAATTTCCTCGCTTGATTTTTTTGTTTTGGTGTATTTTTTTCGCTTTTCTTAGTGTCAGTGAAGTGATCATTAATTTCCGTTTTTCTGAGGCTGTCTTTGAACGCCTCTCGAGAAGAGAAAAGGCACGGAGTTGGACGCAGACGTGTCTGTGTTTGTCGAGAATGTTAAAAGCATAAATAAAGTGTACATTTTAAAAAACCAACACCACAGCTCTCCTTTTTCGGAGCTGCAACATGTATCTATATCTATTTGAGCTATATTAGCCTACTATCAAAATCTTTTTCCATTTTCATTTTTTTTTATAAAGCTCGAGGGAGCCACTAGATGTCGCTAAAGAGCCGCATGCGGCTCTGGAGCCGTGTGTTGCCGACCCCCCGACTTGTCTATACAGAGAGCAACTGGTTTATCTTGTCAGTCATAATTCATGCATACATTTTTTTCTTGAGCGTATCCAAGGCTTCCATTATACAAATCCTTGCCTGAATCGATGGCAGAAGGTCAATCCACCATTATCTTTCACTCTCTTCATCAGAAAGCACATGACAAGTAGTGCGAGTCATATTTTTCCAGTTTTTCATGAACAACGCTGAGAGTAGAATTTAGACTTGTTTACATTGAAAACAGTTCATCAGTTATAATCGGTCACAATGCTCATTAATACAGAACCCTTGCAGTCTTAGCGCAAAGGCCGTTTATTTCAGATCATTTCAGGGTTCCCCTCAAAACCTCAGACCAAGATATAAAAAATTGATTCCTTCTATAAAATTAGATTGCAAAGGTCAGAGAGGATAAACAGAGAGAGAGAGAGAGAGAGAGAGAGAGATTCAAACCATGCAGAATTTGGATGCAAAGGTGAAACTCCTTAGTCATCTATATGCCATTCCTTGGTGAGAGCACTGTGCGATAGAGAGAAGTGCCTTTAGCCTGGTAAAAGGTGAGCATCATCTTGTTCTGTGTCACTTCTGCATGAACAAAGCCACCGAGCGTGGACGCCTGGCCAGTGAAAAACTTGACGGAACCTTTGGGGACATGGTTCCAGTGGCGGATATCCGGGTCCAGGAAGTTTCCAGCGCCGCTCACTACGTAGCCCACCCCAGACTCCTCAATGTACTGCAACGGAGGTTATGGGTTTGAGATTAATCATGTCATTGAAATCCATTTGACAGGAGTTACCTGCAGATTGTGGTCATGGCCGCAAAAGTAGGCAGTGGCGTTGTATTTCAGCAGGAGGGGGCGAACGCCCTGCAGGAGACAATCTGTGGGCCCGTGTTCGGACACTGACCACACCGGGTAGTGACCGGCCACCAGGAGAAAATTGGCCTTAGACTGAGCCATTCTTTTCTCCAGCCATGTCAGCTGGCGGTTTGCATCCTCTACACTCAAGGGGCCTTTGAGCTTCTCATTCACAAAATCGAGAGAGTTGCCACACAGCATCACGGTGTCAAGCATGATGATGGTCAGCGTCTTGTCTGTGTTCGGGATGCGAAAGTCCAGCTCATAGTAGTAGGAAGGGAAGTTCCTAATAAACAACAAAAAACAGCAACCCTTACAATCGCCAACCACTTTTCCGTTTATTGAGGAAACCACTTTAGGGCAGCGCTTAAACCAGGGGTGGGCAAACTTTTGTGATCATGGACCACATTTGATTTTGAGAATGAACAGATGGCCTAAGTCATTAAGGACTTGTACTTGAAATTAAACTTCACAATGATAACATCTGTGTTACAGTATCACTATTACGGATCAGTAATGTTTCCAACTGAGCAGCCGTGGCTACTGTCAGCTTCTTTCCAGTGCATAAAACGTACACTGCCCGTCGTGTACCTGTAAGGGGTGTGGCTCGAGACGCGAGACTCGGAGGGGCTACATTCAAATCAGGCTGAGAAAAACAGTCGAGCAAGTTCACCACAAAAATAAGTTTCGCACATTTTTTTGTCAGCACTCTATATGCTATTCACGCAGACATTTCAAGTCAACGTAAACATCAGACAGAAGGCTACTGTAGTTTTTCCTGATTATTAATCAAATTTTTTTATACACACCGTTTATACAGACAGCACTCAGGGTGCAACGGAATGGAACATTTCTGTTGGATTTATAAAAATTTTACGTGGCAAGTCGGTTGGAAACTCTCGACTGGAACCTGGCACCATTAAATTGAAATTTCAGTCACTTCACAAGATGTAACATACAGTGAAGATTTTGTTTTGCCAAAGCAAACAAATAAAATATCATTTGCTATAATGGCTGTTTTTTTATCCACATAATAAATGTAGTATAACTAATAAGATAAGTCCAAGTAGTTCATATTCTGCTGCAAATTGTTTTTTTATGTTGTTAAACCACCTGAAATTTCACACATTGAGTTTCATTCTTTTCTGTATGTATATTCACAAAGGATCATTGAGCCTTTAAAATTAACTGAACATTTGTATCCTGAAGACAGATCTTTTTTCTTACCATCTTGTAGATTTCTTTGAATATTCAATCTGGGCATTGACATTTCCTGCATGGTCATGATTGCCAGCTAGAACATACCAGGGGACATTGAGGGACTTTCCTGTGTACACAGCCTCAAAGGTGTCCTGTTTTTTTTTTTTTTTCAATTCAGATGACAACCAATCAGAACCTTTTCAAATACGATAAACAGTTGTCAGAGTATGAGACGTCTCTTGGGCTGACCTTAAATCTCGGAGAATCCACTCTGTCCACACCTTTGAAGTAGAAATTATCACCAAGGGCCAAAACAAAGTCAGCTCCCATCTGCTCTGCTACTTTATTCATTTCATGAGCAGTGGCCTTTTGTACCACAGTCCTATAAGGAGGGTAAGGCACACCTCCCCAGTCACCAAATGCCAGGAACTTAATGGAGGTCCTGTTCGCTGCCAGGGTAAACAAAAGTCTTATCAAGAACTTTAAAAACTGTCTGACATGTGAGACGATACTTACCATTAGCCCCACTCAGGTCTTGGAAAGTAGCGGAATAGCAGTAGGCTGTTGGAATTGCAGCAAGCGCAAAGGCAACCAGAATCAGTGCCATCTTCTAAATATTAAAAAGAATAATCAAATCAGATCATCCCAACAGGCTCAATCGTCATCAAGCTATGAGTGAAACATGTTAACACATGCACAAACAAAACTCAAAGCAGGAAAAAGAAAGGTCTGACAAAGCAGTTTCTCAAGCGTACTGGGCACGCCTACTCTTCCTGAAGCCCCCAGCTCCGCCTGCAAGAATACACGAACTACTGTATTCTACCTCATGGTAACTTGTGATTGCTTGTAGCCCAAACTTGACATATTCCAGCTAATCAGCAAATGACATGTTTTGTCTATTGAAGCACATTGCCTGATGTAAGCTTAAACTTGCATGCGAGGAGCGTGTCAAGTTAGGAAGCAGATCAAATCACTCACAGCTGATAAGTGGTGTGGAAAGCCTCAGGACGGGACCCTTTGTCCTCCACAGATCTCTTGCTGCTCCTCCTTTTTATCAGCTTAGCCACGCCACAGGGGCATGACCATTGCTCACACGCTGACTGCAACCGGTCTTGGGAGTGCAGACTGACCTAGACCTTGTGATTTACAATGGTTATTATTGTAAGAAGTCTGTGCAGACAGCACAATTTCCACTTCACTATATGTACTTCTTCATTTTTGGCAATTTTAGTTGTGACACGAGGAACAGAACCTGGGAGTCAGAAGAGGACTTTACATGGAAGTGACAAAGTAAAAGTATTTATAAACACAAAACAAGGTAACAACAAAGAACAGGGCTATGTAGACGTGTTCTGACGTGTAATTGAGTAACTTGGGCTAAAATATTGATAGACATCAGGCCACGGCAGGCACAGCACCAGGATTGTTTTTCTCCCTGGGGCTCCAATATGTGGGGGAACTGAGGAGAAAAAAAAAGGATTTTCATGACTTTACTGGAGAGAAATGGGTGACAGAAATGCCCAAATTGTACGCTCGCATCACATTGCTGTTTTTCCGTTCTTATTGGGGAAAGCTTATTACACACAATTTTAAAGCCTCCACATTTATGAGCTGCAGCTGATGCTACTTCAGGAGTTGGACCAGGCTCATTTTTCAAATCGCATTCTTTTTTACCTCCATGGAAGACTGGGAGATTATTTGGGGGAAAATGTTGCAGCCAGCACTAGCGCTCCACGTCCCTTGTACAGCTGCAGTATAAACATAGACACAGGAATTGCGTTGTAACAGAATGGCCACTTCTGAACTGAAAAATGTAAAATTTTAAAAATAAATTGACAGTTTGGGGGCAAAAGGAGCTAGACAGATTTCTGACGGAACTAGAGCCACGCCTCTCCTTTGTGGCAAAATAAAGGACAATACCAATTGACAACATCAAGGAACAGTCAAGTGAGCACACGGCTCACATTTCTGCAGATATTTATTTTTCATCGGATGACACTTTGACACAATGAAAAGTAGTCAAAGTACTGCTTGTATAACGGAGTAAATGTATTGCTCCCTCAAAATTCATGAGAATATAGCTATCAATAGCTAAGCCCATGGCAACAAAAGTGAGTACCGGTACACTCATAAGGGAAAATGCCCAAAGTGTCATTACTGTATTTTGTGCAACCACCATTATCCAGCACGGCTTTAATTAACTCTTTGCCGTGAAGTTCACCAGAGCTTCACAGGTTGCCATGGAAAACTTCTTCCACTCCTCTATGACATCACAGAGATGGCAGTCTGGCCTCTTTAACAGAGTAGCCGTAATTTTGGATGTGTGTTTGGGGTCATTATCTTGGAATGTTGCCCTGCAAGCCATTTTTCAGAGAGAGGAGATCCTTCTGCTTCAGTAGTCAAAGAACATGTTGGCAATCATGGGTTCTTCAATGTACTGTAGTTCCTCAATTACTTCAGCATTCCTTTTAACAGTCCGTTATAATAGTACAGTATAATGCCACACGGTAGCGCCTCTTTAATTTACTACTATGTCAGTAGGTCACCCTTTTCCTTAAACTTTCGTAATACAGTATACCTTTTTTTTTGGCATGGACTCAGTCAGGTGTACCTGACCGCTGTGCTATTGACTAACGTGCATAGAGGTGTGAAAAAGTCAGCCGCTGTTCGCTTCTGCTGTGAGATGACAAATAGTGTCTTTTCATTTTCAGCCAGAGAACTACTTCATATGCAGTTAAAACAACCCGCTTCTGTTGTTTCATAGGTATTGCTCAATGTTTTACAATAAAACAATTTTGAAATATTGAAGGTGTATGCTACTGGTTATGAAAAAAAAATCTGGATCGGAATATCGTGGATCGGCCAGAAAATCGTGATCGGTGCACCTCTATTCATCCGTCCATTTTCCGAACCACTTTATCCCCTCTATGGTCACGCGGGGTGCTGGAGCCTATCCCAGCTGTCTCCGGGCAGTAGGCGGGGGACCTCCTGAACCGGTTGCCAGCCAATCGCAGGGCACACAGAGACGAACAACCATCCGCGCTCACACTCACACCTTGGGACAATTTATAGTGCTCCATTAACCTCCAAGCATGTTTTTGGAATGTAGGAGGAAATTGGAGTGCCCGGAGAAAACCCACGCAGGCATGGGAGAACATGAAAACTCCACAAAGGGACCCTGCACCTCTGCAATGTGAGGTTGACGCACTAACCCCTGGATCACCGGGCCCCCCAGTGCACCTCTAATTTCATTGTACAGTATTGCAAAATCGATCAAGGTGCGAGCAAATGTGCAATGTGTAGGCTTCTTGACACAGGCACATATCACCGACATGGCCGCCAAGCTTGTTTGCTTGCTCCGCAGCAGCAGAAACAGCCCAACTCCGAAACGACCTCCGATCAGTGCTGGGCGTGCCTTTGAGCTACAAACAGTTCCAATCAACAACCGATGACTAGGTTTTCAATTAAGTGGTGCCTCCTCGGTCATTGACAGAGGAGCCGACTATCTTTATCAAACCCAGTTGCACAGGCTCCTCAACAACAACAGGAACAAATTGTGTGGTGCGGATCCTCTCCTTCAAGGTGACTGAGTACAGTACTACGTGTGTGTGTTTTATATATATCTATAATACACACATACATATGTGTGTGTGCGTGTATATATTATATATACACACATATATAGATCTATATACATATATATAAAACACACACAAATGCAGATATATATATATATAT